TCATTTTTGAAAATGCCATAGCTTGCACTGCGTGTAAGTGATACTTTTATGGATCGGGCGGATTCTGGAGTATGCTGCACCTTCACGAAGATTGCCCATATTGGTATATTTTAGGTGTGATTTTGGCTGGGTGGGGGTAAACATAAATTGCCGTCAGTCATTTTTTTAAGGAGCAATGCATGCAAACTATTATTTTCTTCAATGTATGTCATATATCATTGAATAATGCTGTGCAACTGGTTATCTGCCTGTGAAACAGAGTTTGAAATATTTGGAATTGTGTTTCTGGCCACACTGAAATACAAAATTGTTCATTTTTAGGTCCCCTGCCCCCTTATTATCTACCTAATAAATAACGTGCCAATGAGCCAGTCTATAGTCGATCGTTCTAAAACTCGTTTAAACCCGTCTATAATCTAATGACGGACAGGGAACAAGATGTATCATTAAAATATGAAATGGAGATTATTTTGGCGCTACGTACACAGCGGAAATATTTTTTGCAAAACAGGCAAAATGTGTGCGGCATGTTATTCATTTAAATAATTAACATTTAAGTTACAAAACAGATTAACTGAGTGAAAAAGTAAGCTTATTTAAAACGTATCACAAATATTTGCAATAGGTTATTTTGAAGGATTCTGTGACTCTTTTTATAACATTTTGTGATCCAATACCTAGATTCTAGATCTTATGTTTATTCAAGTAGTTTAATCTTTTATAAATAAGTAAACAATACGTAACAAAGAATTGATTTTATATATATATCAATTTATTCATAACTATTTTCGCTATTTGTAAAATAATGTTACAATAATGACAGTTTTTCCTCATTCGAACATTATATGCAATTCGCACCAATATTTAAATGGACATATTCTCGGCACATATTGTCTTGAATTTATTTTTAGTTTACCAATAATTTCAATTTCACTTGTTATCCATTTTATTTTGCTTCGACCAAACGTTTCAATCTTTGTCGCAACAGACAAACATTTCAGAATTTCAGACACATACCAAGAACATGGAGAAAAAATTAATAAGTGCTTCGGATATTCAACTGTAAAAGAGAACGATTTTCAATTCTGATTTTGTACAGTACCTGTGACTGTTCACATCATTTGGCGGCGTCTTTGATGTGCAGCATCAACATTTAACTTGTTTATCAATTTTTTATGGAGCCTATTAATACATAAGAAACCTATGAAACAAGGGGATTTTGTCTTGGTAGGTTAGGGGAATTTGTCCAGCCTTGCAAAAGCATGAATGGGATTTATATGTCCACCCATGTAGGGGATTTTGTCCAGGTATGCGAAGGGGATTTTGCCAGAAGGGGATTATGTCCGTACACCGTGTACATAATGGGATATTTCACAGATAATTGATGTTTACCACACTACAGTATTTTCATGTGTGATATCACATTTTCACATCCCACCCGTACTACCAAATTGTCACCATGTTCCTTTGATGAGCAAAATAGGGGTTCAACATGTGTAAAATCACAAATACTGTTGTGTGGTTTACAAAATTTTATTTACAACAATCTAAAGAATAATAAATACTAAAAGATTATATGTAAGACATGAATAGAATAATAATTATTGTTTAAAGATATTTAACCAAAAAAAATGATAATGATGATTATAAAAGTTAAACATAAATAATAAGCAATGTTTATGAAATGTGTTAATGAAAAAAAAATCTGATGCTGTTGGCAAGGTTAGTCTTAATTTTTACTGTTGCTTTTATCCTTCTTTCCTGTTTTAAAATTTAATGATTTCCTTATTATAAAATCATCTCTTTAAAATGTGAACTAGGTTCCAATTTATAAAATGCACCACTTCCATCAAGAAAAATCTTCCGAAAAAATACAACCTTCTTTCAAGAAATCTTCTGGTAAAATAATATAATAATTAATTGCAATCCGTATGTCATTAATAGGAAAAAGTTAAATCAATAAATCAATTCATAGACTGTGTGACAGACTTATCATTTGCTTAACATTATGTTATATGTTATATTAAGAACAATTAATTTTAAAATGAGACTGAAGCAGTTGAAAAATATAACTTTAACATACCGTCAGCTTTATTTATTCCTACACTTTCTTTTATTGTATACTAACTTGTCATCAATGTGACCACCTTATATGATATATCAATGATGTCACTTTGAATTTGTCAACAATGTGACTACAGTTTAATTGTCATTGATATGACTCTTTACTTTCGTTAAAAATTTGATCATTTTTCTTATCCACACATTATCAATTTTTACCTTCAGTTTCACAGCTTTCTGGCAAGTGCACTTATTTAGCTTGCACACATAGTATTGTGTCACCTTGAAAAGGTGTTACTTTTGTTGATGTAAAATGTCAGCATCTGCGTCCCCTAAGGCTTGTCCAGAGCATAACTCAGTCACTATAAGTCGGATTGACTCCAAACTTGGTTTGCATGCTTCTTTCAATAACTAAAAGTGCAGTGAACAAGACCATTACCCTGCACTTCTTAATTTTTGACTTATTGGCCTTTCTTTAATTTTGTCCGGGCCATTTCTCCTAAACTTTCAAAGCTTTGGACATGAAACTAAATAAGATAATAGATCTCATTAAGAAGTGCAGTGCACAAGAACCAGTACTCTTCACCTCTTATTAGCTTAACTGTCACAAAGTGATAGGGTGAGCTTTTGTGATTGCTTTTCGTCCTTCGTCCGGCCGTCAGTCCGTCGTCCGTAAACTTTAACTTTAAATGACATCTCCTCATAAACCACAAGGCCAATATCACCCAAACTTCACAGGCATGTTCCTTTGGTGGTCACCTTTAAAAATTGTTCAAAGAATTTAATTCAATGCAGAACTCTGGTTGCCATGGCAACCAAAAGAAAAAACTTTAAATACCTTCTTTTAGAAAACCCAAAGTGCTAGAGCTTAGATATTTGGCATGAAACATCTTCTAGTGAGTGTCTACCAATTTTGTTTAAATAAAGCCCTGGGGTCAAAATTTCCCCGCACGAGGGGGTCTATGCAGATAGTAAAAACTTAAAAAATCTTCTTTTAAAGAACCCAAAGAGCTAGAGCTAAGATATTTAGCATGAAACATCCTCTAGTGGGTGTCTACCAAGTTTGTTCAAATAAAAGGCCTGGGGTCAAATAGGCCCTGCGTCAGAGGGTCATTGATTTTCCCTATATGCATATAGTAAAAACTTAAAAAAATCTTCTTTTAAGAACTCAAAGAGCTAGAGCTTAGATATTTAGTATGAAACATGTTCTAATGGGTGTCTACCAAGTTTGTTTAAATAAAAACCCTGGGGTAAAAATTGGAACAAGGGCGAAGGGGGGGGGGGGGTCAAGTTGGTCATTGATTTACCTTATAATATTATGTATATAGTAAAAACTTAAAAAATCTTCTTTTAAAAAACTCCAAGAGCTAGAGCTTAGATATTTAGCATGAAACATTTTCTACCCAACTTTGTTCAAATAACAGCTCTGGGGTTTAAATTGGCATTGCCCCGGCGGGGGGGGGGGCTATATACAGGTGAGCGACTTCAGGGCCATCATGGCCCTCTTGTTTTTTGTTTTTTATTTGCCATTTGTTAATTTTCATACTTTATTTTTGTCTGGGCCATTTCTCATAAATTATAAAAGCTATTGACTTGAAACTTCATAGGATCATACATCTCATTTAGAAAAACCCAATGCACAAAAACCAGTACTCTGCAGTTCTTGCCACTGGTTAATTTTCATACTTTATTTTTGTCCGTGCCATTTCTCATAAACTTTAAAAGCTTTGATAGGATGATAGATCTCATTAAGAAGAAGTGCAGTGCATAGAACAGGCACTCTGCGTTTCTTATTTTTTGAGTTATTGCCCTTTGTTAATTTTCATACTTTATTTTTGTCCAGGCTATTTCTCCTAAACAATAAAAGCTATTTACTTGAAACTTCATAGGATGATAGATCTCATTAAGAAGAAGTGCAGTGCACAAGAAACAATAGTCTGCACTTCTTCTTTTTAGTAATTGCCCTTTGTTAACTTTCATACTTGATTTTTGTCAGGGCCATTTCTACTAAACTATTAAAGCATTGGACATGAAACTTCATAGTATGATAGATCTCATTGAGATGAAGTGCAGTGCACAAAAACTGATACTCTCTGATTTTTTAGTTATTGCCCTTTGTTGATTTTCTTACTTATTTTTATCCCGGCCATTTCACCTAAACTTCAAAAGCTATAGACTTGAATCTTCACAGGATGATAGATCTCATCAAGAAGAAGTGTAATGCACAAGAACTTGTACTCCGCACCTCTTATTTTTGGGGTAATTGCCCTTTAGCGGTGTTAATAAATAACCTATATTTAAGAAGAGAAAATGCCTAAGTGACAACTATACTGTCCACAAGGCAACACATTCGACTAGCAGAGTTCTAGTATTAATATTTCTCTCTCACAGAAATAAACATCATTCCCACACTATGTTTAAACAACAGATCATTCGGCTAGACCGGTGATAAAGAGATCCCTTAGAATTCCTTTGATTTAACCACTAGTTCACCCTAAATTCCCCTAGACTTTGTTTGATACCTAATTGATAAAACTTGATGTTTTGGCTTGTATAATTAGAGCTTTTTAAAAAATTAAAATTGAAAGATTTTTTGGACAAACATTTATTGACAAGGTCATATGCATATTATGTTGTGCAGAAATATTGAACATTTGAGTGCTTTCTTGATACTGCTACAAAGAGATATTTATATTTTTTGATTTTTTAATTTATTAATTGATTTTTAGTCATAGTTTTGTCTTCCTTATACTCTGTCCAGTGTTTAATTAGTCAAGCTTCGCTGTCTCCTGTGACAGCTCTTGTTATTTGTGTTGACACAGGATGTTCTTGACGGTTCTAACTTGTCATTCTTTGGTTGACAAATACAGTTCTAACAAAGGATACAATACATTTGTGTGTATTTTTTATAATTGTTTGCATAGCCTTTTTATTTGCAGGAATTAGTTCATTACAAAAGAAGAAAAAAAGTGTCAGCTTAAAAGATGGTGACTCGACTGAAAATGTGGTAAGTTTCTTATAAAGGCAGTGTTCAATCTAGAATGAATTCCCGGGGGAAAGTGTGTCTGTAAACTTAAAGCTACCTACACAATCAAACTAAAATAAATTCTGTGTAAACCAAAGTTCATCTTGTGATTTGTCAGGACGTTCACAAATATAGAAAAATCTTCCTAAAGTTTTCAGATAATTTTGATGATTTCTTTGTTCATAATGTCTAAAAGGGGTATTTTTCTGTATATAGGGCAAAAAATCTCTATCTAAAGAATGCTATGTTAAGTTCATCAGTATGGCAGTTTAGGCTGTTACGCCCGAAGATTATTCAAGAAACAGGATGCTACATTATAGTGTATGTGTAAGTCAAATTAAGATAACAGTTTGCCATTATTCTTTTCAATGTTTTATTTTGCATAACTCACATGACTAAAGTAAATTTTGATTAGCTCACCTGAGCTTGTTTAGGTTGAGCTTTTAGGATCGTTGAATGTCCGTTGTCAGTCGCCTGTCATCATCAACATTTGTTCATTAACACTCTAGCTGTCACATTTTTGCCTCAATCATGTATTTAAGTACTAAGATCATTTAAATAGGTATTATGTACAAGAAATTATCAATATATCAGTGTATCACAGTTATTTGTCATCCGATATCATTTTATCGTCCATATGCTTTGCACTGAATCAATGACAGCTCTCATTATTTTGCAGCATGACGTTGATTCATCTTACATTGTTTCCGATCAATAACTTGAGAATGTGTGGGTCCATTACCCAGAAACTTCTTTGGTGTATTGGTCTGTATAGTAGATGATACATAATGATTTTGGTGTCAAGGGTTCAAAGGTCAAGGTCACATTGACCTTATATTTCAAAAATAGTTTCTGACCAATAGCTTGACAACCCATGCACCCTCAGCCCTCATATTTTAAAGGTGAATTGGTCTTGGTCATTTAATGACCCCTATTGATTTTGGGCTTAAGGGTTAAGTTCATGTTATTGAAAATCAAGAACGTTTCCAACCAATAACTTGACAACCCATATAGCTCCAGCCCTCAAACTTCACAGGTGCAATTTTGCCTTGGGCTGTAAAGGACTTCTATTGCTGTTGGGGTATAGGGTCAAAGGTTAAAGTAAAAGTGATTTGTTTGTCAAAACTGTTTCCATGTTGATAGTTCTGTATATATTTCTTTGTTTTATTTTGTTTTATTATGTCTCCTAAAATTTTTCGGACGTCTGTCCAGTTGTCTGTCTGTCCGCATTAAGCTTGTCTGCCCTTCACAGGTTAAACAACTGGTGGGATTGTAACCAAACTTTACAGGAGTGATCAGTACCATCCCTAGTTGTGCACATCACTGGCAGGTTCCACTTTGCTGCACAAAATGGCCACCAGAGCTAAAATAGAAAATTCTTGTCCAGCCTTCACAGGTCAAACTACTGGTGGGATTTCAACCAAACTTTACAGGAGTGATCAGTACCATCTTTAGTTGTGCACATCACAGGCAAGCTCTGCTTTGTTGCACAAAATGGCTGTCAGAGCTATAAATAGAATAACCTGTCTGGCTTTCATAGGTCAAGGTACTGGTGGGATTTCAATGAAACTTCAAGCGAGTGACCATACATTTTTGGGAGACATATGTTTTTGTGACAAACCCCTTCTAGTTTATACTCACTAAACCACCATTGTTATGCCCTCTTTGAAAAATTGACTAATAGGCCAGTGTAATCATTATTATTAATATAGTTTTGTAATAATTGCCAAAACACAAGCCACTGTAATATTTAATGATTATCTTATCTTGTTGTTTTGCAGCATAATGTTGGCCAGTCAGTTGGTCCGTCTCTTCATCATATTCTGATCAGTAATTAGGAAAAGCATGAGCTCATAACTGTAAAACTTCATAGGTGCATTGCATTGGCCTTGAGACAGTTTATGACCCTATTGATTTTGGGTCAAAGGTCAAGGTCACAAGTGGTAATGGTCTTGACCATTAAATGACCCCTATTGATTTTTGGGTTTCAGAGGCAGATTGACCTTTTATTAGAAAATGGTTTTGGAACAATAACTTGACAACCAGTGTACCCTTGGCCCTCAAACTTTACAGAAGCATTGGTCTCAGACAACTTAGATGACTTGTTTTGATTTGTATGCCAAAATGGTTTGTGAGCAACAGTATGCAGGCAATTCTCATAGAGTGAAGGAGCATAATTATATTGTTTATAGTGTCTGTGCGCATGTTTGTCTGTGCATGCTTCCACAAAATTGTGTCAAGCTTGTTGAAAGCTGCACGCCTCCATATTGATACTAATTTTCATGAAAATTTGAAAATGTTTTTCAAAGTATAATATTGTGGAGTTACCAAAAACCTGCAATTTACACATTATCAATGGCACTTTCAGCCCATGTAAATTACCATAAAGAGGTCAAAATATGCAGAAATAGCCCTTACTGCGTTAGTAACGCAGACGCAGTTGAAATATAGTTATAAATACTGAAAAATCAGTCATTCAAATGGCACATAACATGGCACATAACATGTAAATTATTACCAGAATTTTGAATCTTTATGCTTTTTTTAAAGTCTTAGTACATTTTTCTCAGGTTTGATTTTATCGAAATATTTTTGCTCATCTGGAAGCGTGCAGCTTTAATGTATTTTGTTATAACTTGGAATAGCCAAATTTATTCAGCATAATTATCCTTTAATCACATTTAGAGGATATGTTAACATTCAAATCCAGTGTTAATATTCTGCATGTAGTTAATGAGGGATTTTAACTAAATGCTTAACTGCTACATCAGTTCTGCCTATTCATCATTATTGCTTTGAGTCAATAAAGTCAAAATGTAAAAAGAAATCTTTTTAATTCAGGTATATTCTGATGACGAAAATGAGTTTGATTTCTGTATCCATGGAATGAATCTAAGAGAATTTGGAGTTTACAAGAAATTTTGGGTCCCAGAAATAGGTGAACGTATAAAATGTTCCTTGAGTGCCAGTAAATCAGTTGAGACCATGAAAGATGGGACAACTGTTGGAAAAGTGGAGAAAGATGGGCACGAATTGTTTCTGAAATACATCAATGCAGGAGGTGATATTTGTGCTGTTGTTGTGGGTGAGCCAAAAGCAAACAAATCAAAAGGGGAAGAAATTCCTGTTGTTTATGAATTTTCTGCACAAGAGTGGACAAATCGCTTGAAAAATGTCAGGATTGAAATAAAAGATGGTATGATATTTAAAGATATATGCCTCAATTTTAATGATTGAAAGCTTAATGGCCTTCATAATTATTCATATGTCAATTTTAATATCTGATCATGTAGAACAAATCTAAGAACTAAATTTATTTTTAGTCCACCTGAGCACAAAGTGCTCAAAGGTGAGCTATTTGCATCTGCTATCACTGCATCTGTTGTCCATTGTTAATGGCCTCTAAGTTTTTCTTTAAACAACATCTTCTATACAAATTGGTCAATATTTTTAAAACTGATCAGGAATATATCTGGCATGAAACCCTCTAAAAACATTGTTCAAAGAATTCCATTTCATGCTACATTCTGGTTGCAGTGGCAACCGAAATAAAAGACTTCAAAAAGTCTTCCCTCAAAGTACAACAGCTAAAGCTTAGTTGACATGGAACATTTCCTAGTAGACCTTTACCAAGTTTGTTCTAATTATATTCATTGAGTCAAAATTGGCCCTTTCCCAAATGGTCATTGATTTTCCTTATAGGTACAGTGAATGTTGAGAAAACCGAACGCTGAGAAATTCAGAACTCTCTAAATACCGAACGATTAATTCAGTCCCAAATTTTTCCTTCGTTAAACTATTGCATTTAATATTGACTGGAATATGTAAAAACCGAAACGTTGACATTTTCTAGACCGTGTATCAGTGAACGTTGACATTTCTGTAAGTTGGTCAATTTTTAAATAGATACAAAAAATTACAGCATAAAACTAGTTCATTTTTCATTAAAACATTCTCTTATATATTTTAAGACCTGAAATTTTACTTAGAAATAACATGCGTATCGTTTATTAAGCTTTCATCAACACTTTTACACAATAGTGTGTACGTTGTCATCGACAATTTGCAAATATTGTTTGAATGTTCTCAAAAAGTACAAAACGTTAGACGAAACTAAATACATTTTCAGAAAGCATCGGAATTGCCGTGGTCTGTAGGCTATGTAGCATAATGTAAATCAGCTGGACATAAAAATAATCACTAAAGAACTTACCTCAGCCGAGCTATTTTGGCCGTGTACGTTGAGTTTTGTGGTCACGTGACCAAAGTTGCTTACCCACGGTGAAAATGCACATGGAATTTCGGGGGAGCATATAGTCGGCGCCTTGTCCGTCCGAGCAAACATTTTGGGTTTAGGGGCTATGTTACAGTAAAGAGAACAAAAGAGAACAATAGGTTCATACCATGATCAAAGGGTTTATGGGCTAGTAGCCCTTAAGATAACAAAGAAAATAACAAAGAAAATAGCCCCTAAACCCAAAATGTTGGAACGTCTGTCCGTCCGTTGTCTAGTCCGGAAGCATAACTTGAAAACCCTTGGAGATAATTTGTTTAAACTTAATACAGTGGTAGAGGGCATTGAGGGGTGTGCAGTGTCAAAGAACCATAAATATCTCCCCTTATAGAAAAATCTTGTCCATGACATAACTCTAAAACTATAAGAGATATCAACATGAAACTTTGTAGGTGAATAGATCTCAATGGGTAGATGTGCAGTGCATAAGAACAATAACTGTTTTTGTCATAATTTTGGAGTTATTGCCCTTTGTTAATTTTAACACTTTGAACTTTGTTCGGAACATAACTCTAAAACTATAAGAGATATCAAGATGAAACATTGTAGGTAGATAGATCTCATTGAGTAGAAGTGCAGTGCAAAGAACAATAACTCCTGCCTTATCTAATTTTGGAGTTATTGCACTTTGAACTTTTTCCAGGGACATAACTCTGAAACTACAAGAGGTGTACTTTCCTGTGTCCAAAACCTATTCGGGGAGCATCACCTGGCTCAAACCGGGCTCTTGTTTATTTTGGAATTTACGTACATATGATCATGAAAATGCAAATATACAGTATCTGTTGTTAGTCAATGCTCGGGACATTTAGAAAACCGGACCACTAAGAAAACCAGACTAAACCCTCGGTCCGTAAGCCGTCTGGTTTTCTCAACTTTCACTGTATATAGTAAAATATTTGGTGTGGCAGACCTCTGCAAAATAATAGCTCTTGAGTCAAAACAAGAAAACATTATCTAGTAGTCCTCTACTAAGTCTGTTCAAATTATAGCTCTTGAGTCAAAATTGGTCTTGTCCCGGGGAGGGGGATCATTGATATTCCTTAAATATGTATGCAGTAAAACTAAACTAAAAATCATCTTTTATTATACTATAGAAGCTTTCGCTTACATATTTGGCTTTCCATAGCAACCAGTGAGCAATATTGCAAACTTTGACTTTCCCATGCAACCATTGACTTCCAAGGCAACCATTGACTTTCCATAGCCAGTAGCAAACAGTGACTTCAAATAGCAAACAGTGACTTTTATAAAATTTATTTCCATAGCAACCATTGACTTTTCAAAGCAACCAATGACTCTCATAGCAACTGTTTGCTTTCCATAACACCACTGTCTTCCATAGCAGCCATTGATTTTTGTGTCACCTTGAAAAAGGCGACAAATAGGGGTTACTTTTGTCGGCGTTGTCGGGGTCGTTGTCGGCGTCCCCTTAAGCTTGTCCGGAGTATAAGTCAGTCATTATAAGTCGGATTGACTTCAAACTTAGTATGCATGCTTCTTATAATGACCCAAATGCAGTGCACAAAAACCGGTACTCTGGACTTCTTAATTTTTGAGTTATTGCCCTTTGTTAATTTTCATAGTTTATTTTTGTCCAGGCCATTTCTCCTAAAGTATAAAAGCTATGGACTTGAAACTTCATAGGATGATATATCTCATTAAGCAGAAGTGCAGTGCACAAGAACCGGTACTCTGCTTTTCTTTTTTTTTGAGTTATTGCCCATTTTTAATTTTCATACTTTATTTTTGTACAGGCCATTTATCCTAAGTATAAAAGCTATGGACATGAAACTTCATAGGATGATAGATCACATTAAGGAAATGTGCCGTGCACAAGAACCGGTACTCTGCATTTCTTATTTTTTGAGTTATTGCCCTTTGTTAATTTTCATACTTTATTTTGTCCTAAAGTATAAAAGCTATAGACTTGAAACTTCATAGGATGATAGATTTCATTAAGAAAAAGTGTAGTGTACAAGAACCGGTACTCTGCACTTTTTATATTTGAGTTATTATCCTTTATTAATTTTCATACCTTACTTTTGTCCAGGCCATTTTTCCTGAATTATAAAAGCTATATACATGAAACTTCATAGGATGATAGATCTTATTGATAAGAAGTGCAGTGCTTAGAAACTGCTGAGTTATTGCCTTTTTGTCCTGGTTCATAACTAACGGTAAAATTTCCAAAACAATTCGTTACTTCCATAGCAAACATTGACTTTTTGCATAGCAAACAGTGATTTCCATAGCAAACATTAACTTTCCATTTCATAACAGGCACTGACTTCAAAGGTAACTTAATTGATTTTGAATAGCAACCAATGACATTTTAGAAACTATTGTTTTCCCTTAGCAATAGCAAGCAACAAGTTTTACATGTGAACTATTTCAAATACAAATATTAACTTTCTGATATTAGTTTAGATTTAGATTCTATGTCTGCTTTTGTTTATACTTTAAAATAAGTCACAAATGTCAAAAATAGATTTTAAAACTTTTATAGGTGTAGCCTAATTCTCTTGACAGATGTCTTTTATATTTGGTCAGAAACATAGAATTGAGAAGTTTCTACCTACTTGGTTGAAATAGATTTTTACAATTCTGCCCATACAACCTTTATTGACAAATGCCTTTAATATTGGTAGGATGATAACTTGCATAGTATTCTTCCTAAGTTAGGGGTCAGTGGGTTAAGATCAATGGTGTCATCAATAGATTTCTACACATTTGCTTACACAGCCTTCATTTTTTGACTGATATTTGGCCGGGTTACACTGGTGCAAACCCGGATTATAGTATGGTGAATGTCGGGCGGTGGGCGTCGGGCAGGCGGGGAAAAACTTTTGTAACAGTTTTCTCAGCAACTACTTATCACAGCCTCTTGATATTTGACATACAGCATCAACACATGGTCCCATACCGTGGGATTTGATTTCAGGTCTGTCGCTCATCCACTTCCTGTTTATCGACTTAGATAAATTTTCAACATTAATGGTCAATGGTAGGAAATTTTCGTAACAGTTTTCTCAGCAACTACTTATCACAGCCTCTTGATATTTGGTATACAGCATCAACACATGGTCCCATACCATGGGATTTGATTTCAGGTCATCCTGTTTGCCAACTTAGTTAAATTTTTAACATTAATGGTCAATGGCTGGAAATTTTCGTAACAGTTTTCTCAGCAACTACTTATCACAGCCTCTTGATATTTGGTATACAGCATCAACACATGGTCCCATACCATGGGATTTGATTTCAGGTCATCCTGTTTGCCAACTTAGTTAAATTTTCAACATTAATGGTCAATGGCTGGAAATTTTCGTAACAGTTTTCTCAGCAACAACTCATCACAGCCTCTTGATATTTGGCATACAGCATTGACACGTGGTCCCATACCGTGGGATTCTATTTCAGGGCTGTCGCTCATCCACTTCCTGTTTATCTACTTAGTTAAATTTTCAGCATTAATGGTCAATGGTAGGAAATTTTCGTAACAGTTTTCTCAGCAACTACTTATCACAGCCTCTTGATATTTGGCATACAGCATCAACACATGGTCCCATACCTATTTCAGGGCTGTCGCTCATCCACTTCCTGTTTACCGACTTAATTAAATTTTTGACATTAAGGGTCAATGGTAAACATTTTTCGTAACATCACAGCCTCATGATATTTGGTATACAAATGCAACCTAGCCTTTTCCGTCTTTGACCCATTTTTTTCATATTTGGTAGGATGATAATTTGCATGGTCTTCTTCGTTTGGATAGAGTTAAGGGTATGTGAGCCAAGGTCAGGGGTACCAAAAATAGCATATACAGCCTTTATTTATAGACTGATATGATATGGAAGGAACATACCTTGGACGGTCCAGTGTTGGGAGTATTAATAAAT